AATGGGAAGGTGTTAGCACCCAAAACGTCTATAGTACTCTATAGGAGGCCTTTGAAATATTTACGTTTTTTGGTTTGAAAATGGTTTGTTTGAAAAGAGATTGGGGAGATGAGAAGAGAATTATTTTTTAGATTTTTGTGTTTGGAGAGACTTATCGCCTCATGCCTACGTATCCACAAAGTGCAATATGGGATCAAAACCCCGTAGTTCGTGGTACAAATGACAAAAATTTGTTGGTTTTGATTGATTTTAGATGTAAAGACAAGTCGTCATTTCAAGGAGAAAACTGCGACTATCCACCCACGAGTATTAAGACAACATCTGCGTCACATAAAGATGGAGGATTTGCTTGGATTATCAACAAGACTATCACTCAACATCAACGTGGAAAATGTCAAAGTCTTAATAATATGAGGAATAAGAGATTTACATCTCAACTATAGAAATGAATCATGTCTAAACTTTATGAAAAGTTTTAAAGTGAAAAAGTGCATAAAGGCACAAAAAGAGTTGATGAGTTTTTGTATTTTTTATGTCTTTTGAAATTGGTCAAAGCATGATTAACATTGATTGACTTTTATTAAGAAAAAACAAAGTTTAAAAATCACTTGACGAAAGTCAAGGTTTTATTGCGAAAGCGGTTTTGAAGTTTGAAACCAAGAAGGTTTTGAAAGAGGGAGAAAGTTTTGAAAATTTAAGAAGGGGAGGAGATGAAGTGACTATCCTAGAAACCAAAATAAGAGCTAGAGGTAAGAAAGATCTAACCGACTTGTAGCACACTCCATAGCAAGCAAAAAAGAATTCCATCCGATTTAAAGCATAAGCTAATGAGCGAGCCAAATAAAGGCTAAGATCCACAATACTCCAAGCATAGGAATAAGAGTCCTAATTCTAAGTCCAAAGGTCCATGAAGTCCAAGGTCTAAGAGTAGTCCAAGAGCATAACCACAAAGTTAACAACACCAAGTTTTTTAGAGATTTTTTATCCTTTATTAGTGTTTTGAACAAGATATGGTCCAAGTGGACAAAAGAGAAATGACATAAACATAAACAAAGATATGATATGAAATGATAATATGGAAACATAAAAGTAAGAAATAAGGAGTAAGAAGAGAATATAAACAAAATTAAACCAAGATAATGTTAGTGAATTAGTAATTAGTGGTTAGAACATATGATCAATGATGATTAATTCTTGCACTTTAGACCAAGGTTAATGAAAACTCATTAGAGGATTGATAGAATCAAAGCCTCCTAACAATGATTTTCATAGGTATTGGACTTAAGACAAGCAACTAAACATACTTGGACTTTTAAACGTAAGTTTGAGCCACGAATGATCATTTTCCGATTAAGGGACACTTTAGTGCTATGCTAAGCAATCATAATCGGGTTTATGTAGAAACCACGACTATCTGAGGCCGGTCAATAAAATGTTAGTGTTAATACATGTTAGAGAAGTGATATGTAAATCACTCTCCTAAAACATGCCACACAAAAAGAAAAGAGGTAGTGATCTCATCATAATCAAGATTTTAAATCAATTAATCAAAGGTAATCTATCACTATTCCAAAGTACGGAGAATTATCTAAATGATTATTCATCCATAGATTTGAAATAATGAAGATTAAACAACCTTGATAATCAACAATCTATGATCCATAGATTTCATCGATCAAAAATAAAAAGAAGAAGAAAGAAAATTAAAATGAAAAGAAATTTCAATTTGAATCTTAAATCGATTAAATCATCATCAATATCAATCACCTCTTTTAGTGGATAAAATCAACACTCAAAGTCCATTGATATTGATGAGATCTTATCAAAATTCAAGACCCAAAACAAAACAACAATTAATCCAAAACTAAAATATTTTTTTAAAATCATTTTTTAAATGCCTTTTTTAAGAATATTATTATTTTTTTTATAAAAATAAACTAATAGCAATAAAAAAAAAAAGGCCCACACGGCCAATTTTCTTAAAAGAAATGATAAAAAAAAAAGAAAATAAATGAAATAACAATTTAAAAGGAGAAAGAGAACAAAAACATCATCTTCTTCTAGCTCTCACACGGTAACTCTTCACGCCATTTTTGCGAGCTCAAAGCTTGCTCAAATCAAAGTGACGGGATGCGAAAATCACACCGAACAGATCGAAATCAAAAGTTCTTCACAACAGTACCAACAATTCAAAGAATCACAACAAAAGGTAACAGATCGAAAATGACGGTGAAGCTCAAACTACCTTCAAACTCAGGTAAATGATGAAATCGAAACTCTCTTCTTCTTTCTTCTTCCTCTGAATGAATTCTGATTCGAAATTGATCTTTGTGTGAGGTTAATTGAAGTTAATTTGGTGGAAGGAAGTAGGAGAAGAGAATATGAGTAAAAGGTTTCGTAGTGAGGAATTGAGGAAGAAAATTAGCAGAGATTTTTTGGCTTGAAAAGCTTCAAAAAACAAATGAGAGGTGAGTTGTATTTATAGATTGAGAGGGAGGGAGAACGAGTGAAAATGATTTGCCGTTTATGAAAATTTGCTACCGTTTTGAATTGGGTGTTTATGCGTGACTTGTGCTGAAACTTTTTCATGTCGTTTTTACTCCTTTTCTTTCAGCTCACTTAAGTGACATGGAAGGTTTGTGGGGTCAGCTTGGAGTGTAACATGGCTGAGATTATATTCACATGGCTTGCAATATGGCTTGGATAAGTGATGAATTGTTTCCTCAGCTCAACCTCAATTTCGAGCCGTTTTCGCTCTGTTTTCAAGTACGTGACGTGGATTGGCTCTCATGGCTCAATTACGGTTCAGCTTCAATTTCGTTTGCATCAACTTCAGCCAGATTGCGAGCAGCTGAGACCCCATAAACTGTTCTGATGGAATCAAGCCTTGAAGATGTGATCATGGTGTGAACATCTGCTTTAATAGCTCCGTGCCTTCTGCAAGAGCAACTGACATTAGTATGATGAATTGCAAACCGACTGACAACGTCTACTATCTTTGAGTAATCATCCGAAGAATTTTGTAGTGTCTTCTTTCTTGCGGCCATGTTATAGAATAGATTCTCAACCATTATTTGAGTTCCTTTCACAGCAGCACGGTCAACTCATATTGAAGGAACTTCATCCACCCCGGCCCTCCAGTGAATACTGGACTCAGCTTTCGGCTATTGAAGCAGCTTACACGGAGAGTTCGGTTCCGTGGATCATCTACACCATCCAAATATGGATGTGCATACTCCATTTTAAATGCAAGATCATCCTGAGGATCTCCTTGGCATTGCCAGGGCTAATTCCTGCCTAAGAACTTGATCAGTCACAATCTCATTATTTTTTTTTCAAGCTCTAGCAATTGGGCAGCAATTGGTGACATCCATCTCAGACTATACAATAAAGCTGTGGAAGAGCATTCACCATCCAGTATTCGCATGCTAGCTGAGACTAACCATAAATCATTCGGTGGCCTTACATGTTTTGGAGGAGCAACCATTGATGAAACAACCTGCCATGGTAACGAGTGAAGCGGAGGGGAGACTAAAACTGGGCAACAATAAATCAATCGAAGGTCATTCCAGAATTTTTCAAGATCAGATTTTGAGTTGCGAGATCTAAAAGCAGTTGCTGCTCAATACTGGCAATGGATGCTTAACACCAGCTCCCCATACAACAAGGGGTGTATCAGTGTTTGTAGGATGTCCATCTCCATGGCTTCCTTTATCACTCATTCCATGATCTGCTTAACATTGTCGAGATAGATAGATGAAAAGGGCCTGTGTGCATGACAATTAGAGTCACATCCAAGTAGGTGCAGGAATACAACAAGATTATCCTGCTGCAGCAACTTCTTTAATTTTGGGTCTTCATTGGAATGATTAAGAAAGCTTTGGAATTTATCAAGAGACCACAAGTCCAGGAATGATGCATCAGTTGCAAAGTCTTCAAACTCGTGTGGATAGGTATCCTATGTGCTATGCTGCAAGACACCACAGAAAATTGGAACTATGTCAGGACTTCCAAAAGAAATCGTATGGCTGCTTTTGTTAAACACAGAATCAAACTCAACAGGATTAGCCTTCCACCCTTTCAAAACTGCACTAGGATCTTCATAGAAGCCAGCAATTATGGAAACATGACCAGGCCTCGACTCAGTAATTCCCGCTGTGGGACGATCCTCCTTTGCCAACAGAATTCCCAAATTCTGTTTCGCTTTTGCTTCGTGTCTCATCCCATTCAACTTGTTTCTTGATGGAATCTCTCATACTAGATACATCCTGAAGTAAAAAGCATTGATTCATTATCCAATCCAAAGCTATTGTTAACTCTTCCGCAAACTTATCATAATCAACCTTGCCATCAAGCTGCACTTTATTCTTACAGTTATTACATGTCATAACAACATCTTCATCTCCAGCCTTATCATCGATGAAAGCCTGTACTCCCACATTAACTTTGTCCATTGGAAAATTTTGCTTAGAATCTTTAGGTCTCAATGAGAGCCTCAACGGTGATCGCCGAATAGTTTACGGCATTCTCAACGTCAGAAATAACAGGAATACTTGAGTCATGACTAACACCTGGCTGTGTGGGGTGCAGTTTCTCACAAACCACAAAGAAAGATTCTATGTATGGCAATATATTTTGAGAGCCAGCTGAAAGTGGAGGCACGACACCAGTCGGTTGAGAGGCAGATGATGTAGATGGGGTGAAGGACTCTATTTTGCTTATGCAACAGCTCAGCTCATGCCACAATGGTAGACTTGTCAAGATCAGAGAAAAATAATTTTCTGATATACTGATGCAACAGAGGACGGACTTTAGCTACTCGAGCTGACCTTTCAGGTGGCTTGCAAAGGCATGGATCCTCCAAACATGGTGTTCTTTGCTCATCCAACGAGACAAGCATGAGAAAGATAGGAAGCTCATAACCATGTGCGGCTGAGTTACGAATATGTTCAACCAATTTGGAGATGCGGTTGTTTTTGGAATTCTTTCCATTGACTCTGCTATGACTCCGGTGACCATTTTTTCCCAGGAAAGTGTGTACAAGAATCTTCAAATGCATTCCATGATTGAGTATCTGTAGCCACAACAGGAACTTGTTTTTCTGCATTCCATACACCGTCGTGCCATACATCAGATGTAACAGAAGGTACACCAACACTAGAAATTTCAAAAGATGGCCAATGCATATTATCATTCACGGTCGAAAATGGATCAAATCTATCCTGCAAAGATTCAGCACTTAAAGGTACTGCCGCACGAGTTTCCACTTGTGCAGTAGCTGGTGTGAACTGAGGCGTATCAAATGTTGCCCACCCTTCATTTTTAGGGATGGATATATCCGCTGATTTTGCATCAGAGGTTGCAGTAGTCTCCACAAAGAAATCAATAGATGCAACTTGGGATGTTTGTGTAGGTTGATTTCCCTTGAAAGATGTAGCTGAAGCCATATCAGATAATTGAAACAGATCTCCCAATGGAGCTTGAGATGGTGCAGCTGTTTGAGAAAGAACAACAGATGAAGCTGATGCCACTGGTGCCTTGGAAAGATCCAAGCTAACAGCTCTTGCAGGACCAGATGGCAGTGAAGTTCCTGATGCTTTATCTTGAAGGGACCCTGAAGATTGGACAGCTTCCGAGAAAAAATCAATTGAACTGCCAGAATTGTAAGATCTTAAGGTTGGAAAGTTGTTGTCTGTTGGTTGCAATGATGTAGTTCTCTGCGGATGACGAATTCCATCTGCATCTCTCTTGGCAGCGGCATTAGATTCGAGAGCTGCATTTTTTGCTTGAGTCAACACATCTTCACTTGAACTAGAACCAGTACGTTTATGAGATGGGCTGTTAAACTCAACGTCCTTACGAAACTGAGGAGACTGAACATCGGATTTGAATTGCACATGACCACTGGACGCGGAAAAGTCAGAATTTCTTGGACCAGATCTCTCATTTGCAAATCTTTCATCATATGCATTATCACTGAAACGACCAGGACTATAGATAATACTAGACATCTTCCCTTCATAACAGAATTTATCTGAACCAGGCTTTCTCGTCAGAGCCCCTGCTTGCTTTCCATAGCGCCGATCCTCATATTGATTATCATATGGAGGACTTTGTGAATATGAATGATAAGAACTGGCACGTCTAATCTCGTCATCATGAATTGTGGGGCCTTGTGCATCTCTTGGAGGCCTTTCATATGACTTTGTTCCAGCATATAGTTTATCCACATATACATTCTTTATGAACTCCCTTACTTTATCAACGTTGCTGCCATTTTGAAGAGCATCAACTTCTTGCAAAGTGAACTTTGACATTGACACAGACTTCATACAATGAGTAAACTCACGATGTATTTCACTGCAAGTTATGCAAATGAAGGTCCAAAAAGTCGTACATGCATACTGAGGTCCCAAACTATTACAGTTGATACATCTTCGATTCGGCGAAAGCTTCATAAGCCCTCTAATAATCTTCTCAATCTTCTCTTCTTGCTTTCTGCTTCCCATTTCAAACTTCTTTCAAATCCTGCTTTAATAATCTGAGCATGAAGAGGCTTTCCAAAACTGAAACACATGAATGCACCGGTTGCAGATATAATGGCAGCATAAGTATAGTCATCTGGTTTAGGAAAGCACAATTCCTTCAACTGGAAAAACAAACTCATTGCCTTTTCTCCGTCCTCATTATCAGAATACCCAGCAATCAAAGAATTCCAAGCAACACCATCTCTTTCATTCATATCCCAAAAACAAATTCAGCAGAACTTAAATCCATACAACTTGAGTATATATTAAGCAAAGAAGTTTGGACACAAATATCATTCAAAAAACCAAACTTCAAGCTCTTGGCATGAAGTAACAATCCAACCCATAAATTTCCATGCAATGAACATGCTTGCAGCAAGCTAGTAAAAGTCATGCTGGAAGGCCTAAAAGCAATATTTTCCATATGTGTATACAAGTTAAGGGCATATATGGAATACTCAGATACTCGAGAATATGCTGCAAGAAGTGCATTGTAAGAAACAAGAGTTCTATGAGGCATTTTGTCGAACACTTGGTGGGAGTCTTTGAGCGAACCACAGAGTGCATACACGGAGATTATGTTGTTGTATAGAAAGGGAGATTTGGACCCAAAGGTGTTGGAGGTAGTTAAAAGGAGGGCGTGGAGTTGACGCGCCTCTCGTAATGAAGTTGTGATGCTGCACTTTTGCAGCAGAAGAGTATATGTGATACAAAAACATAGCTTGTTCATGTAACACTCGCATACGCCTCAACCAACACCTTGATCAAACATCCACCAAACTTGACTTGTACAGACAAAACTCTGAATCTTCGATTAAAACTGGGATAAAACTTCTCATAAAACACTGCTTGACAAACTGATGATTCTCCATAAGACCACTTGACCTTGAACAATCATCTCTTGAGAAAATAGACCACTGATACATTTACTTGCAAATGAAGTAATCCCTTGATAGTTTGACCAAGATGAGGTCAAACTTCCATCTGATTTAGGCTTAAATGAATATCCTTGACATTAATCTCCTTGCAAAAACCTAAACACACAAAGAAAAAGAAACAAGCAAAATATTGCAAAATATTTTTTGGTATTTTGGTTAGAGGTTAGTAAACATAAATAACAAAAATCAAGTAAGAAACACACAAGGGTGCCTGGAGAACCATAAAGTATGATCTTGTTTGCGTATGTAATGATGCAAATGAAATGTGGAATCTTAGGGGTAAAAATTTGGGTGTTACAGCTGCCCCTATTTAAGATTCTTCTATCTAGAGATATGAAGATTGACATCTTTGTCTCGACCAGATAGAAGAGACTTAAATATAACAATAAACCCAATTTTTTTTGCCCTAAGAGACCACAAAATGATATGGTTATGCTAATGATATGGTATGCAAACACAAGACCACCGTGGGAAGAAAATGCCACAGGAGACAAACAAAAGCTCAGAAGAAAAAGATAGACTTCACATGAGAAAAACAAAAAAAAGCAAGATCCTATTCCGATAAAGGAAAGGAAATGACTCAATGGGGAAAGAGATACCAACTGCCAGTTACTGGGCGAAGATATTCGAACTGAAGAGAATAGGTAAAATACTTTCTACTGGTTACTGAGTAGAAAATAAGTGCAAAAAAACACAAGAGAATTGTTATCTACCAGTTACTGGGTAGAAAACAAAGAGATATATTACTTATTACCAATTACTGGGTAAAAAGTAATCCACTCATTGAGATATAATCAACTACCTGTTACTGAGTAGGAAAAGAAGCAACGCCAACTACTGGTTACTGAGTAGTTTAGCGGGAATACTAAACTTGAATGAAAGGGGTTACCAACTATCGGTTACTGGATAGGGTAAACAACATGTCAACTACTTGTTACTGGGTAGGACAAACTCGACTACCTGGTACTGGGTAGGAGAAGAAAATAAAGGTCAACTACCTGACACTGGGTAGGACAAACATACTCGACTACCTGTTACTGGGTAGGAGAAAGAGATATATCATCAGCTACTTGTTACTGAGCAGCTCCAATCACACAACAAACTTCTCAAACAAAGAGACAACCATTTGTTGGAAAAAGATATTAATAACTCTGTCGGGGATCTTTAAAAGAGATACGAGCAGATTAAACCATGCAATAGAATTCTCATCGGGAATTATTCCACAGAAATTCCAATTGACAGAAAAGCTGGTCAGATAAGGATCTACCATTTCACAATAAACTTCTCTGTTGAGGATGAGCCAGAGAAACGTTATTTATTGAGAAGGTAAATTTCTGGAGATTACACAAGCTGCTCAAATAAAGAGGCTTCCACATGAAGTTGCATAAGTAATTACCAAGAGAGTGTTATCAAAACACTACTGGGAAAATCAAATCTTCATCTTCTGATGGGGATCAACAACAGATTCTGCCGAGGAAAATAAATCCTCAAGAATACCTTTTCATCATCCAGGTTTCACATCCCAGGGAAAACCAAAGTAACTACTGCAAGAGACCAAAGTTCAATCCAGGAACAAACTGGAAAGAAACGGTCAAACAAGACTCGACCCAATGAGGAAATAACTCAACTGGGGAACAATTCCATCCAGATAAAAGCTGGGGAGGAAAGCTAAACGAAACATCTTCCACGAGGCATAAACTCAGTGGGGAACTAAAAATGATAGGTATTTTCTGCTTAGGGGTCAAGACTCTAATAAAGAGAGGACACGCGCATTCTGCGGAATAACAACATCGGAGAAAGGGAAACACAAAAAAAACAGGATGCACAATGCAACAAAAACATGTTATGCTCAACCAAAATGAATACGCATGCAATGCATATGAATATGAATATGCTGACAAATCAAACAAAAAGGGCGAACAGAAGGTGAACAAAACACCACAACACCACTAAAATACTCGGCTAATCTCCGCAAGTTAGGGATATCATTGGAGATCGTGCTGGGGATCAGCAACAGAAAATCTGCAAGAGATACACAAGAGCCATCAAAGGAAAATAAATCCTACTACAAGGCTTAAATCTCGCTGAAGAGACAAAGAGACCGCTTGGGAAAAGACCCCAAAGATCAATCTTCAACCATCAATAATTCAACAAAAGGGAACAACAATATGAACTCCGCTTTGAGAAAAAAAACTGTTGGAGAAAACATAGTAACACAAATCTTCCAACCCTGCCAAGGGAATAAGAAGTTAACATCATAGCAAAAAGTCAAACTGTGGGGGATTTTAAATCAACACCCAATCACGAGGTGAGAGAAAACCCGACATGTGACTGCTATGTCAACACTTCTTAGAAGTAAACAACATTGTTCTCTACTTGGGGAATAATCCAAAGCAAATATGCATAACCTCTGCTAGGAATCATCAAAGACAAATCTCCGCCTGGGCAAAAACATCAAGGAGAAGTGGTCTTCAAATTTCTCAACTGTTCGATCATAACCTGGTTGAATGAATAAAACATATTCATCATTTGAATCAAGACTTTGTTGTGGAAAACCGTTCAACACTCGTCTGGTTTATCCAAAGAAACAAAACTCTGCTAAGGGAATATCAGCAAACTCTACTGAAGAGACCTCAATATAGCTCAAATGGGGAAACATCAACACAACTCTACTGGGGAGCTGCCAATAAATTCTACCAGAGAGGCAAGAAAGAACCCTGCTGAAGAGAACACTTACGCTTTTCGCTTCAAGATTCTACCATTCTTGGGGTTACTACTGACATCCTTTCTTTTATTTTCACAAATCAAAGAAAAATGTTTTTATAATTTTCAAAATTTAAATCAATTATTCACATTTGTTTCAAAAATCATCATCAAAAATAAAATGAAATTCTGTAAACAGAAACAAAATAAGAATTGCAAACAAAGGGACAAAGGCAAAAATTCTATTAATAGAATGGTAGTCCGCAAATGGCGTAACTCCATGGATCATTACAAAGTTTGAAAAATGGTAAGTACAATGGAAAGTTCTACATTGGAATACAATGACCATTATTCTCCCTAACAACTTTGAATTTCAACTGTGCTTGAGACTTCAGCGGGGAATAATTGAAGTGAAACCTTTGATAGGAAATGTTGCTTCAAACGATCAAGACTGGCCAGATGCAGTTACTTGCAATGATCCCTAACTTTTGCCTAGATTGCCCTCTCGGGTTTTCAATCTACCGGGATGATTATTTCTGTTTTGTCTCTAATTTTTGCCTGGACCGCCCTTTCGGGTTTTCAATCCACCAAGACGCTCATTTTTGCCTAAGCTGCCCTTTCAGGTTTTCAACTTAGCGAGCTGTTCTTTTATTTTTTTTAGGCGAAGTATTTCTTGACTGCATCGGCATTCACAGGACGAGTGAACTCTTCTCCATCCATAGTTGTAAGAATTAATGCACCGCCAGAGAAGGCTCTCTTAACAACATATGGGCCTTCATAATTAGGAGTCCACTTGCCCCTAAAATCAGTAGTAAAAGTCGAGATCTTTTTGAGCACGAGGTCACCTTCTCTGAACACACGGGGTCGAACCTTCTTATCAAATGCTTTCTTCATTCTTTGTTGATATAATTGGCCATGACACAAGGCCGTCATTCTTTTCTCTTCAATCAGATTCAACTGGTCGTATCTACTTTGACACCATTCAGCCTCAGACAATTCAGTTTCCATCAAAACTCTCATAGAAGGGATTTCAACCTCTATCGGGAGCACTGCTTCCATGCCATAAACAAGAGAAAAAGGGGTTGCCCCTGTTGAAGTGCGAACGGATGTACGATACCCATGCAGAGCGAAAGGAAGCATATCATGCCAATCCTTGTATGTAACAACCATCTTTTGAATAATCTTCTTAATGTTCTTATTAGCAGCTTCAACAGCCCCATTCATCTTGGGTCTATAAGGAGAAGAATTATGATGCTCAATCTTAAACTCATCGCATAATTCCTTCATCATCTTGTTATTTAAATTCGATCCATTATCAGTGATGATCTTGCTCGGAACACC